TTACGCAGCTTTTAGCAATATTCCATCAATATCACGACTAGGGACCAGAAATAGGCTTCACACGTTGTACCTTTGTGGGGAATCGAACCCGGGCCTTCGGCGTGATGAGTGAACGCTTTAACCACTAGGCTACCCCACCGCCCCTTCAAACCTAAAATGATCCCGCAAGGCGAGATTATCTCATCTCTGAGTTAATGAGAGCCTGACATAAGTATCATTCTGGGTTCCATATATTATATTAGATTTCAGTATATATTTCATAGATTGTGAAATTAGATAACTTTACTGAATACATTTAGTATTCACGAAGTTGTGAGTACTTCTGGATAAACCAACTGATCCCTTGAATTGGAAAAAGTCATGAGCCATTAAAAATATTACTTATCATACACGCGAGTTGAATTTGTTCCAGTGTTACTGGTGTTCCGAATACAGGAATTTTTGGTGAAACAGACCTGTGAAGGTTAGAATATAGATCTTCGGTGACCCATGCTTGTCGTAAGAGGCAACTAACGGGATCGGGTGGTCAGGCTCGCTGACTTGGTTGACACATGCCATCGGTTCCCAATTGCGCAGATCGATGATCATGCTGTTGATCATTGGATTGTCTGGTCCAGACTCGATTATTTACAGACCGCCGTCATATAGCTGGAATATTGCTGAGTGCGGCGTAAAACTAAACTTACTTAATATATCCAGTCGAATAACCATATCTTGTTTGTGTATGTATTATCAGTGAGTGAGTGAGTGAGTATGGTTTTACGCCGCTTTTAGCAATATTCCAACAATATCACCGCGGGATACAAGTAATGGGATTATCACATTATATCCATGTGGGGAATCGAACCCGGGTCTTCGGGATGTCGAGCGAACGCTTTAACCATTAGGCTGCCCCACCGCCCATTGTCTATTGTTAGCCACCATGAAACATTTGTGTGTACTTTCCCTGCAAGACAGTATCTGTAAATATGTCAGTTGCTGTCTTTATCGAACTCCCCGGTAATAGTCGAAGTTGTTTGCTGACGTTGGGACAACGGATATTGTCAAGGATTATAAACCGTTACATCCCCAGAAAAAAGAGCAACAAGATCTCGTTATAGAATTATTTTAATAAACATCAAGTCAAAGTAAAAAGTAGTTTGTTATTAATTCTTACATGTAACACAAACACTTTACTACACCAATAATCGCAGCAAAGAGCATAAATCATACATAGATCATTGCAGTATTATACCCCATGCATCGGAAGTATAACTGTATATACTATTACATGATAGTCTAAGAGTTAGATTTAACGCCGATTTGAACAGTATTCCAGCTCTATGACGGCATTTCATAACGCTTGATGGGAAATGTCTTCAGTATAAATTCATTTGTGACGTATCGTCGTCACGTGACACTCTATGACTTCACGTCTTTAGTTTTCGGTCAATGGAATCCTTTATAATGTATAACGAAGGAGATTGCTCTTGAATACGCATTACCGTCGCAACTAAACATGAAAAGATACGATGTTAAATTTCTTTTGATTATTTCTGCTACGAATAGGTTTTTCTGGCTAAGATTAGTTTCATATTTTCAGATATCTGAATGTGTCACGTGAATCAAATACGCAGAATGGATAACTGCAATTACAAAATTAATATTTATACCTCTTGCCAAAGACTTATGACCAACATTTGTTGTACACGCTGTATGTAGCGCAATTAGTTAAAGAGGGGCCGCATTGAATGGGAGTTTATGTTTTCTTCAGTGTGCGATTGGCACTACGCCATATATATTTTTGCTCTGGCATTTTAAAAAGCCATGTGACAGATTTATAAACTAGAAAACAATCCGAACACACCACGATGAACCAAGCAGGTTACATATGCAGCACTGCAGTTACCTTGTGCTGGATGACGGACTATAAACAGAAAACCTACTGTACAAGCACACATCTAGAAAGTCATGGTTAACCTCAAAGGGACATAACTCGTGGCATCTTAAACATCGTTCTACGTGATACGACGATAAAGCACGAGAAGCCGTGTGTAATAAATACATTTCAATACTGTACATTAAATACATCAAAATGAAATTAAATATTTTCTTTGCGACTTTCTGAAGTAACTGACAATAATATGTACACAAACACACTGGATCCAGCATTAAATATGAAAATATAACATATGACACGTGTATGGTAACTGTCGGGGCCTTGGGGCATTATGGGCGGGGCTCTTCTCCCCACCCCAGGCTGGTAGTGAGGAATACTGTTGTACGAGTACATAGCGATACACCTGTCACTTGTCATCAGATAGTAATCCACTTAATGTCAAAGGGAAATGTGTACAAATACATTTGGTGAATGTTATTTTTTCCATTTTCCATTATTGATCGCGAACATGACAAAATGTATAATAATACAAATCTTTTAATCCACGTCCTCTCAGTTTAGATTCTCTAATAGTTGATAATGAAAACAATATTTTGAGCTACAACATCAGAACACGCAACTGTTAATTGATTTACAAAATAACAAATCAAAGGCTAGGATACTGGATAGGTTTACTCAAAATTTGTATTTCATGTATTAAATATATGTATTTAAAATACGTGGAATAAAAAAAATCCACATAATCGAAAACATTTTATTTCACATTTCAAAATACTCAAATTATCTTGTTTGTACACAACCCGCTAATCGTAATTCATAGCAATGTCGCTTTAACATGGAAGCCATTACTGGGGAACAGAAAGGTAAGGGCTTGTAATATAATTTTCAGTGTATCTCAAGTTTGTCTCAAACATAATACTTAAAATTGTTTGTCTTATTTTTTTTCATATTAGTAAATAAATATTGTCCCACTATTCCAGTAGTGTCCTCATAACGGACAACAGAAACTGGCCTGAAAAGTGTATTCGTGTTGGGAATCGAACCCAGGTCTTCGACGTGACAAGGAATCTTACAGAACTCTAATACTTTAAGATTCCTTTAAGGTTTCTGTACCGTATACACCAATATTGGGCACTACACACCTGTGACAATACCACCGGGGAGGCCAAGGCGGACACATGGACGAGTTTGGCATGACAACAATCGCAACACGTCACGAATGACATCTTCGGCACACAGGGGCATATTGTAATGAACTGACACGATTTCTATTTTTTTCTCCAAATATATCTATAAAAACAATGAAAGCTTTCGCCTCTTAATGCTATGCTTTGTATTTTGTCTATTTTTGAAGGCAGAAATAGTAAATTAAAATACCAGATAAGCAGCACTGTTTTTAAGTAAATTGCCCTTGTTTGCAGAGGATGACATTAAACTGTACAAATGTCTATCTGATATAAAAATCCAAATATCGAAAAACTTGTACTAACCGTACTTTACAAGAACACTACATCCAAATAGAAGTTATGATAAAAACATCAAATTTCATATAGGGACAAGTCATATGAAATTATCGCGAAGGAACACGGAAGGAAACATTCAAAGCAAAACCTCGCTAGTCCAGATCCCGCGAAACAGGAACCCTGGTTATTCCTGAAACCCTTGAATTAAGGACGAGTACTGTTGGGAACGTTAACATGTGACATCATCTATTAATCACCACTCTCTAATCCAGAAATTTGTTTATCCGGACGATTACAGTGGGATGCCACCGTCCTTATTAACAGGGTTTTACTGTACACAGGATGGTATTCCAATATTTAACTCCCAAAGCGAAATACATTGTATACACGGGTAGCTGGTGCTAATCACAGCATTACAGCATTAACTCGTTACAGCATTAACACGTTACAGCATTAACACGTTAGAGCATTAATTTCTTTAAGAGTGTCAGAAATTTCATGTTTGTTGTTTAACGCTATATGACGTGTCTGGACCAGACAATCCAGTGACCAACATCACAGTTGGTTCGTTTGTTGTTTAACGCCGCACTCAGCAATATCCCAGCTATATGGCGGCGGTCTGTAAATAATCGAGTCTGGACCAGACAATCCAGTGATCAACAGCATGAACATCGATCTACGCTATTGGGATACGATGACATGTGTCAACCAAGTCAGCGATACTGACCACCCGATCCCGCTAGTCGCCTCTGATGATAAGCAAGGGTTGCTAAAGACTCATTCTAGCCCCGATCATCATGGGAAGAGAGTTAATGTAATACACCACGAACTTACTGTTGCTAGGACCGCCTATGTGGTCTAATGGATAAAGCACCTGCTCAAAGAGATGACGGTCGGTGATTTGAACCCTTGTCGCGTCAAACCAAAACACGTTAGCATGGTATTTGTTGGCCTAGTGGCAGCAAGAGTTGTATACTCCACAAGGAGTTGAGATTGATAATAAGATGTGCCGTTGAGATTGACATCCAATGATTGAGGTAAAAAATACCAGCGCCTTGAGCAAGCACTAGTTGCGTGGATATGTGTCCTATATAAATATAATATAATAATATAATAATACAATTGGCATAATGGCATTATCCAGGGTTCTTTGGCTCTGAGTCAGTATACAGTGGCTGTGTTTAACTACGCCATGGTATCTCAGTGTCATAGCACTAAACGTGAGCATTAGACGGGACTACCATAAGCAGCCACTCACACTAGAAAACGATGTACAGTTAAGCCCCGTTTAACCAGATGGTATCGTTCCAACCGAAACCACCCAAATGACATCATATTCCAGATAAACGAGTGGCTTGTACGAGGAACTCACTTATACAGTACACGTGTCAGCTGTTATCCCTTGGGATGTCTCCACGGTTAATTAGGTGTTCAGCTGGATGCTGTTCTCAAAGTGAGAATCTCATCTCCTTCAGTCATATACTGCGCAAGGAAAAATAAGCGTTGATAATCTTTACCCCAAGAGATTTCTTTGGGCAAGATGTATTCCGATTCCGATAAGTTCTGTCATTTAGACGCCTCTATAGGCCTTACATACTTTTACGCCTTGTTTACCGATCCGACACTAACTTAGAAATAGAAGATTCAGAAAATACATTATGAACCATTTGTTTTTAATACACCGACGGAAAAGATCGCTTTGACAAGAAATAAATGACAGAGATATGCCGTTGTGAGTTTTTAGTTTTATAAATAAGTATTTTTGCCACCTACCAATCCAAATTCATCTACAAGGTCATTTGTTTTCTGGCTATTTTGCAAAAATATATAACACATTTAAATAAAAAAATGATTTAAAAAAATAATAATTAATACAACCGGAAGCATGTGCTTACATAGGAAGACAACGTTTTGGAGACAATACTGTCTTACTCATCTTCTACTTACATACCTGTATACAGGTAGCAAGAGTGTCCTTACAGTTCGGATGTACATAAATCCCTGCTCAACAATAAGATATACACAAAATTGAATAACATCTACAATATTGCGATATTTTAAGATACGTGTTTTAAAGGTAGCCATCAAGCGCAGATTCTAAGCGCTGCTTAATTTCAAAGCAAACTTAAGTTCTCACAGGGAGGTATCCAGGGAGTGATTCCATTATGACGTGTCTATGACAACCAGACTTTGGGTGTCGCTCGATGTCTTTCTCTAAATAACAGTCTTCTTAGATACTGATTTCTAACACATTCTCTGTAGTTATAAAAATGAAAACGCTTGAAATATCTGACAACTGAAAGTGACAATACCGATGGCAACTGCATCATTAAAGGTCAGAGGGCCTTCAGGAACAGCTTCACACAACTTTGTGAAGCTAACGACTACTGCAATCATTGGAGTTGCGTGATGTCTCACTTTTTGCTGATCGATTTACTTGTCTGACGTCATTTAGTTGTTGCCTGATAGATTTTATTGTAACAGTGATTTTCTCGTTTTGTAATTGCGTCATTAGCTTGCCACATGCAATGTCATTTCCTCAATAACAGTAAAGAATCTACATCCAAAGTTCTCTTACAAATATAAAAAAGTTGATATCCTGTCGCATCCATCTTATACTCCAACTTTTCTACAAATCCTCCAAAAGAATCTTATATCGTGATTGATACAAGACGGATGTCCAGTCTCTCTTAACATGGGCTTCAAACAGTCTCGCGCAAACCCAAGTTGCACATCATGCATCATGCGAATCTATTGATTTCTTGAACGTATGCTATCTTCATCACTGATGGGTTAACTGAAGCATTTGGTTTAAAAAACCCCGTGTCCTTGGCACTCCGAGGAACAAAAACAAATCAACAACGCTGGATTAGCGCAAACAGTCAGCCATGATGCAATTATTCCCATCGAAATAAAAGGGATCCATGCCAGAATGAGAATCTCGCGAGATTGCTTCTTTGAGCTGGAGCCGGATCTCTCAAAACAGTAGCAGGCTTTAGGGGAAATTACGATTCAACAGCCATACGTACGTTTCTCGTGAAAATGGTATCAATGTCTTCAAATGGTATTAGTAAGCACGTATTTGCTAAGGACAGAGCCGTTAATGAATGTATGTTGTGAGACACGGCAGATCCTTTTGCTTATGGTTAGGCCTTAATGTAATTTGTTTACGTGCATAATTGGGTAAATGAATTTCTGGCACAAAGAGACGATTTTCTTAGATATAAAACTTGTAAACATAGTTCATCTTAAGTACGTTAATCGTCGTTTTCATTACATGAATACTAAACTGGATTTTCTTTCATTCATCCGTATTGTATTTTTTCACTACGCCACGGGATCTGTTGAACCGACATTATCACCAAATACCCGACCGGATTTTATCGAAAATACCCGATCTCTCGGCCGAAAGATTGAATTCCGCTGAGCAGGCAGAAATCAGGCTGGAGAAAATTAGAGGCAGATAGGTGGAGCTCGTGATGCGTGATCTCGTCAGGAAACAGCGAGACGAGACATCACGAGACTCAGGAGGCCTATTGAATAAAGATGGCGGCTGCTAGCGGAAGATGTGAACTTGTTGGTTGGTATTAGCATGGTGATTTTGTCATCCGAAGTGAAGGGAGTTTTATCGTGTTGAAGCATGACTCCACCTGGAAAATAAAGTCACTTCAAAGCATTGGTGCTCAATAAAAAGCTTCCTGTTGAAGCATTGCTCCAGCTGGGAAATACTTAAAACCATAATTCCCCTCCAACTGGTGTTGTAGCATAGTTCCATCTAGAAAATAAAGTTACTTCAATCATGATTTCCCTCCAACTGGTGCTGTAGCATAGCTCCATCTAGAAAAATATAGTTGCAAGCAACGACGAGGGCTCCTTGGCTTTAGTTCTATCTAGCCTATAGTGTCTGTCACGTATTTGATGAAAGTAATAGTTTTAGTTAATATGAATCATTTCACTGCTAGTCTTTACACTTTCAACAATGATAATAAGAAAATATAAAGTTCCATGTTAATTCATCGGAACTGAAAATAGAATAAAGTGAATTAATAGCTGAGAGAAAAAATAACATAATAATGACTTAATACAAATATATCTTAGATACGCCGCACTCAGCAATATTCCAGCTATATGGCAGCGGTCTGTAAATAATCGATTCTGGACCAGACAATCCAGTGATCAACAACATGAGCATCGATCTGCGCAATTGGGATACGATGTCATGTGTCAACCAAGTCAGCGAGCCTGATCACCCGATCCCGTTAGTCGCCTCTTACGACAAGCATGGGTTACTGAAGACAGATTCTGACCCGGATCTTCACGGGTCGATTTTGTAAGAAACTTTCTAAATGTACGTACTTATATGATGATGATGAAACACAATGTTTCTGGGCTTCGTCAGGTGGACGAAGGGGCAAGAACTAGCCCAGAAACGTTGCGCAATTGGGATACGATGTCATGTGTCAACCAAGTCAGCGATCCTGACCACCCGATCCCGTTAGTCGCCTCTTACGACAAGCATGGGTTCCCGAAGATCAACTCTAACCCGGATCTTCACGGGTATCGAGAGGGAAGAAGAAGAAGAAGAAGAAGACGACGACGAAGAACTTACTACTTCCAACTGAACCACGTGCATAAAGCTGAAACCAATCGTTTGAAAAATCCAGGTTATTCCTCTTGTCGACCTTGAGGAGTCGCGTGACCCGGCAGTAAATATAGCCGTCCTTGCACTGCGAACTTTTCAAGGTCAGGGCGCTTGGTTTGGGTTCCGGAGCGGAGTGGGCGACGATGTTGGTCAGCGAGGCCACCTGGATGGCATTTGACGATTCGTCCTTCAGCTTGCACGCTATGACGTCATCATCTCCGCCCTGAACAAGGATGATACGGACATTTTAGGTGCGAAAATTGGCTTTGTTAAACTCAGCTTAAAATGATTGATATAAGTTAATATTATAAGAAGCAAAATTATACATAGAGAAGCAAGTATGAGTGAGTGAGTTTAGTTTTCCCCCGCACTCAGCAATATTCCAGCTATATGGCGGCGGTCTGACCAGACAATCAAGTGATCAACAGCATGAGCATCGATCTACGCAATTGGGAACCGATGACACGTGTCAACCAAGTCAGCGAGCCTGACCACCCGATCCCGTTAGTCGCCTCTTACAAGCATGGGTTACTGAAGACCAATTCTAACCCGGATCTTCACTGGTCGGAAGCAAGTATGAGAACACCCCATATTTTAATAGCATCAATATGTTACTATTAAACATAGGAAAGGAATTAATCCCAACTTCAATTTTCTGTCTGGATATATTGACCTTGAAAGGAATAGTTATTAACAAATCTAAACGAAAAATATCTCTTGCAATAGCCCTCAATGACATGCAAACATTCCGCATACCAATTACTTGCGATCTTTGAGCATTTATCAGTTGTGGAGGGTCCGTATTTGCTCATACACAACGAAACCAATTGATTTTCAAAGTTATCGAGCTGTACGAACAGCTTACTGAAACTTGACATTTGCTTAATGACGGCTACACGTATTGTACGTGATGCTCGCCTGAGATCGAAGCACGTGCATATCATAATCGATATATGGTGATCACGAAAGGTCAAAATAATCATTCAAACAAACGTAACTACGATATGAGTATAAATGTCTCTGTGGGAGTTAAAATCATAGCTGGTGGCATTTGTTTCCATGCATATTGTTTTAAGAACACAACCTGAATGTCTTTTTTCGCCAAAGTGAAAAAAATACACCTGCCATCTTTGCACGCATTAAGAACGCATCAACACTTGGACGACAGTAATTCTAAAGATTAATCGTGTCTAATTAAAGATGATGAAATGGTTCATTATCCCGAGGATGTAATTTTCTGCCTCTATAGTTTTGAGTAAGGAATCTAGGAATAGACCAGCAAGTTTGAATCAGTGAATTTGACATATTAGAATTAGAAACCAAACATGAATGCTGGCTTCAAATGTTGAATTAAACACAGGGCCCAGTGGATTTACTCCTGCTTCGAGCAACGTTTCAGTTACACCTGGTATATCGGCTTATTGTTTGTGTCTTGTTTATTGGGGGGCGTAGGGGTAGCCTAGTGGTTAAAGCGTTCGCTCGTCACGCCGAAGACCCGAGTTCGATTCCCCACATGGGTACAAAGTGTGAAGCCCATTTCTGGTGTCCCCCGCCGTGATATAGCTGGAATATTGCTAAAAGCGGCGTAAAACCAAAACTCACTCACTCACTCTTGTTTATTGGTTAAGGCCTCACTCTGCGATATTCAGTCTAAATGACACCAGTCTGTGCCAGACAATCCAGTGATTGACATGAGCATCCATCTACGTATTTGGGATACGATGATATGCGTCAACCAAGTCAGGGAACATGAGTGGGTGAGTTTTGTTTCACGCCGCTTTTAGCAATATTCAGCAATATTACGGCGGGGACACAAGAAATAGGCTTCACATATTGTACCCATGTGGAGAATCGAACCCGGGTCTTCGGCGTGACGAGCGAACGCTTTAACCACTAGGCTACCCCACCGCCCCCAGGGAACATGACCACACGATCCCGTTAGTCGCCACTTACGACAAGCATAGGCTGCTGAAGACCAATTCTAACCTAGATCCAGCTTGTAGTCTTCTGACGTAAAGATAATTTTTTTCGTATTTCGCGTTTGTATCCTAAGTATTCCCTTAGGGGCATGGGTGACGCCGCTCTTGCCCTTTAGCACGACAGGAATCTGTGAATTAGAATCCGGCTTGGCTCAGATCGTGTTTGTCGGCACCATACCATTTTGTTGGTTTCTTCTGAGACTCACATCTTTTCTGGTTTTCTTTGACTTGGAGCTGACACACCGTTATGTTCAGAATATTGTTCCAAGCTGTTTTAAACCAAATTCAATAACTCTTAACAAACAACCCTTCTTACCATTTTTGCGTCCGACGAGAACCCCACGGCTACCCATCCTTTGCTCTTTCCGCTCAATTCCAGGTCCACACTATTAGCGTTGATCACGTGATATGACAGGAAGTAGTCACAGGTCATGTGATCACAATCGGACGCACCGTATCTGAATTGTAACACAGTGTTTTACGCTTCATAAACCGTACTCATATCTTGTAATAGGTGATGGGTTCTGTTACATGCAAGAAAGTGAGTGAGTGAGTGAGTTATTATTTAACCACATAAATATTTCGTTTGCTATCGTGACGAGATGTTTATTCAAAACACCTGCCGACGAAACAACTAGAGTATCACAGATATACATGTATATGGACAACACAATATAAAAATGGGCTATTGGAGATTGGGAGTGGGGACTTAGTTACAGTCCGTTCCTATTTCATTTGAGGCCGACGTATTGCTCACGAACACAAAATCTAATAAGTGCAACAAAACCAAATTTTGCATAGTGATATGAAATCGACAAATCAACTCTGATGATTTGTCTTATAATTTTGGACACCCGAATAAAAAAGTTGTTTAACAAACAATGATGGTGCTGGAGACGATCGGCCATCTCTGAGTGCTGCAGAAAGTCACGGGGAACTGGAGACAATCTTGGGACTTACTTAACCATCTCCATACACTACTTACACACATCATCATCATCAAATAGTCTAACAACACTGTTTATGGCTTTAGTTGTTTACAGTAACTATCTGTAGTCGTTGTTGACGTACCAGCGGTGTGCAGTAATAGTCTGCTGTCGCCGACAACGTACCTGATACACGTCCGGTTTTCACCACACTGGCTGAGCGGGAAAGGGGAAACGGCAGCATCTATAAACAATGTATGGTTTGGAATCATAGATGTTTGTATTCGTTCTAAAATACATGTAGAAACTATAACTATATTTTCTCTACCTAAGGAACAACTCATACTCCTGTATGTATGTATGTATGTATGTATGTATGTATGTATGTATGTATGTATGTATGTATGTATGTATGTATGTATGTATGTATGTATGTATGTATGTATGTATGTATGTATGTATGTATGTATGTATGTATGTATGTATGTATGTATGTATGTATGTATGTATGTGTGTATGTATGTATATGTATGTATGTGTGTGTGTATGTATGTATGTGTGTGTGTTTATGCATGTATGTGTGCGTATGTATGTGTGTGTATGTATGTATGTATGTATGTATGTGTATGTATGTGTGTATGTCTCTGTGTATGTATGTGTATGTATGTATGTATGTATGTATGTATGTATGTGTATGTATGTATGTATGTATGTGTGTATGTATGTATGTATGTATGTATGTATGTATGTATGTGTGTATGTATGTATTATGTATGTATGTGTATGTATGTATGTATGTATGTATGTATGTGTATGTATGTATGTGTATGTGTGTGTATGTTTGTGTGTGTATGTATGTATGTGCGTGCGTATGAGTGTGCGTGCGTGCGTGCTTATGGATAATGTCAACAGCATGATTTAAGTTCAATGTACAATGTTTATCCTCCTTCAGTTACACACTCTAAATCTTTAGCCATAAACTAGTTTATAAACAATCTACATACTAAATACTAATAATGGTTGCTATGGAAACACACGTACCATCAGACGCCGGTTCGGGTTTTGGTTCCGCTTCACGGCGTGGTCGGTGATGCCTGTGTTTGGTCTGTGGAGCTTTAAGTAAAGGCAGAATTAGATTGATATAGTCGCACTGTATGAAATATTGCACGACCCATGTGAGTATCTGTGCACTATAAAAATAAAAATGTCAAACTACTACGGAAAATACTTAAAGTCACGTTCACTTGGTTGGAGGGTACTGACGTGAGTCCATGGTAAGACAAAGGTGGGATTGTGAGAGAAAATGAGAGTGTGTGCGTGTGTGAAAGATAGTGAGAGGGAGGGAGAGATTGTGGTTGCCAACACAAATGTTTGTTTAACAAAGAGTCATAACTCTTCCATGGTGTCCAAAGTCGAGAGAGAGAGAGAGAGAGAGAGAGAGAGAGAGAGAGAGAGAGAGAGAGAGAGAGAGAGAGAGAGAGAGAGAGAGAGAGAGAGAGAGAGAGAGAGAGAGAGAGTATCCCGCTTAACACACAAGATTGTATTTACTTGAGGGTATACACTCCATTAACCACCGCTATACACCTCAGCATTTTGTTAATATAAGTCGAGAGAACGAGAGGTAGGTATCCACATGTACGCCATGGCGTTAGACAGACATGGCCGCCAACCCAGACATCTGATCAACAGGCCACATGTACGTCATGGCGTTAGACAGACATGGACGACAACCCAGACATCAGATCAACGGGCCTTTACTTCAGTTAATTGAGCGGTCCTCTTGTAGGTTTGTTGCCTGGCCATATCACCACGAAGGCATTCAACAGACATGATTCCACGGCCACAAAGGTTAACGATGTTCATTGTCAGTATTCAAATGGCGTGGAAAGAGATTACAGAAACGAGTGGAAACTTGGTCCCTCTGATTGTGTCAAGTCAGCAGGTTCTTTACACTGGCAGCATTACCCCCCCGACACAAGTGGGTTAGGTCAGCATTACCCTCCCTTGAGAGGGGCAACTTGATAGGATGCCGACGCTTTCATGGCAACTAAGCACCGCTTAGGTATTCAGCTGTAAGTGGAGTGACGCATAAATCAGAGCCCGTCTGACTGCAGAATCATCGTAGGTGGTACAAGCATCTACTGGAGACAGACTAATGGTTTTGTATGCGCAGCGAGGATGTTTAACCTGTTACGTGGCTCCCAGTCCCATCGGAGTCTGGTCCATCCATTGGGGTTATCTGACGGTGTCCTCTGATCTATTTGATCATTGCAAGTAGCCACAACTGGCCACTGGACAATGATTATGTATCATGACAGATGGTCTTGTTTCTACTGAGATACAAAGTTGACGAATGATCAAGTTGGCAATGATTTCTATTTAGCTTGAAATTTTTGTTTGTTCCCGGCATGTCATGTACAAAATCAATGACCCCCCAACACCACATCCCATAATTTCTAAGCATAATCATAAACATACTATTATGTACAAAACTGGTGACACCACCTAGTACATCTGTAAAAACTTGATGACACCCTGGTTCCCCAGAACAAAATGGGTGACCCCCCTTAAAATCATCATCACCCCCCAGCCATAAATTATGAACGGACCCTTATATTTAAAGCCGCATTAAGCAATTGTCTTGCGGTATTTCTGCGTTGTGTAAGTCAAGACTAGATCAGATAATCCATTGATTGACATAATGACCATCGAACTGGGAACCAATGACATGTGTCAACCAAGACAGCAGCCTGATCACCCGATCTCGATCTGACAAGCATGAGTTAGGGACCGTTCATAATTTATGGCTCTTGGGGGTGATGATGATTTTAAGGAGGGAGTCGGAGGGTGTGTGTGTCAGTCCCACCCATTTTGTTCTGGTTAGGTAGGGGTGGGGTCATCAATTTTGTACACATGTACTAGTGGGGGTCATAAATTTTGTACATAAAAATGTTTTTAAATTATGCTTAAAAATCATATATAATTTAGTACGTGATATGCAAGGGGGGAGGGTGTCACTTAATTTGTACGTAAATTTTAGGGTGTGTGTTTCATTCACATTGTACAAGCTGTTGCATAAATATCAAAATCACCCCGCTTGCCATAGATTATGAACGGTCCCTTGAAGATCAATTATAACCCTGACATTCACTGCTTGAAACTCGTCTCCCTTGGTGTAGTATCTGATGTGGTGCTAAACTCGACTCACATACAGATAGGTACTACTTTCTGTACAAATACTTCATACATATCATCTACATCTTCAAGGGCAAATAATGCGATTCTGTCTACAGGAACCTACGCTAATTATGCAAATTATTCACATATTACCCATACTGGTCATCTAAACTGTGTATCGTTGTAACTGCAAGGGCCAATAACGGTTGTCTAATAGAGGTGTCTGTTGTCTACGCCGTGTGTGTTGACGCACAGATAGTCAGGTGACATTTTAATATCATCGACGTACGATCTATGGGCGACATTCCTCGCCTGAGTTGCCTGGTTTAGCGTTGACTGGAAACCTATTCACGGAACTGCCCGAGGTTTACCACACCAGACCGTATACACCTTACACACAGCTATATTTAATTGCATCCATATACTTCAGATGAACATTGACTCTTCCAGACCGACAGAATTTCTGCAGGCGGTTTAAATTGAGATTATACCCAATGCATCCAGTTTCTTCTGAGTGATAATTTGGTCAGATCCTCTTCTCAAAGTCATTTTGAAGTAGTTCTGTTGTGTGTTTGGTCAGATACATGGCACAGGCATTGTAACATTTAACGGCCAATTCCTTTCCAGAAATCACATGTATTTTTACCATAAAGCAAGGTTGTTAGAGTTTGTAAAGTATCTAGTGAATAAAGAATACTTTTGAAACTTGATTTGACCGAAAACACTGCAAACGTTATCAAAACGTTACCCACCTGAAAACAGTCACTTAAACACTGCAAAGTTAAAACACAGCCACGATACTCGTATCAAATAAACCAATGTCGAATAACTTGGGTCCCGATCCACATTGAGCGTTCGTAGCGTTACGAACTGTCGTAACTCTATAGTTTATCATAGGCTTACGAATGTCGTAGCTCTATGAGCGTTTTGAGGATCGGGGCCCATGTCTTGTTTGTTTACGTTTTGTCTCATTGAAACATGGGTGTACTTCCTCTTGCCCGACAAATGTGTTGTCAATACTGAAACATGGGTGTATACTTCCTCTTGCCCGACAAATGTGTGTCAATACTGAAACATGGGTGTATACTTCCTCTTGCCTGACAAATGTGTGTCAATACTGAAACATGGGTGTATACTTCCTCTTGCCTGACAAATGTGTGTCAATACTGAAACATGGGTGTATACTTCCTCTTGCCTGAATGTGTCTGAAAAACATGGGTGTATACTTCCTCAAATTGCCTGACAAAATGTGTGTCAATACTGAAACATGGGTGTATACTTCCTCTTGCCTGACAAATGTGTCCTACTGAAACATGGGTGTATATGTGTGTGTGTCAATACTGAAACATGGGTGTATACTTCCTCTTGCCTGACAAATGTGTGTCAATACTGAAACATGGGTGTATACTTCCTCTTGCCTGACAAATGTGTGTCAATACTGAAACATGGGTGTATACTTCCTCTTGCCTGACAAATGTGTGTCAATACTGAAACATGGGTGTATACTTCCTCTTGCCTGACAAATGTGTGTCAATACTGAAACATGGGTGTATACTTCCTCTTGCCTGACAAATGTGTGTCAATACTGAAACATGGGTGTATACTTCCTCTTGCCTGACAAATGTGTGTCAATACTGAAACATGGGTGTATACTTTCCTCTTGCCTGACAAATGTGTGTCAATACTGAAACATGGGTGTATACTTCCCCTCTTGCCTTGTGACAAACATGGGTGTATACTTCCTTTTGCCTGACAAATGTGTGTCAATACTGAAACATGGGTGTATACTTCCTCTTGCCTGACAAATGTGTGTCTATACACGAGCGTTTCTGTTTCTGATGAAGTAACTTTCTGGAACAAACCTTAGGCAGAGCCTTCTGTGTTCGCTACGTATCAATAGAAGTGATACTTCTGTTCAGCTTGTGAGTGAGTTTGGTTTTATGCCGCTTTCAGCAATATTTCAGCAATATCGGCATGACGAGGGAACGCTTTAACCACTGGGCTACCTCGCTGCTGCTCAAGACAATGATTTCCACGGGTGTATTCATATATATGTATGTAATTCTGAATTGTACATATCGAATCTAAAACACAGTCTAAGTAAACTTAGGCTCAGTATTATTCGTTACACTGCTATACTGAGTCTAACAAAACCTTGTGGAAGGTCGCGTCAGCTGACCTTTTCAATGGACCAATCAGAACACAGCTTACCGAATCGCGAAAGTTGACATTCGCACATACCTTTTGAACTTTTACCTCGAAAAAGTTTTGTACCCGAACGATTCCGAATGCTATTTTCCGTACGATCGCTTCCGAGTGATGCACATGGAGCACGCCACAAGAGTGAGTGAACAGTCGCTGAAAATAGCGTTTTTCAGTATTCAAGGATGTCAGTTTTCGGAAATATTAACTAATGATAGCCACTTCAACAGAAACCCAAAAGCGTATATTCTGCAGGTCATATATCTGTGTTCTATGGGGGTTTTCATTTGTTATGAGATCAGTGTTGGCGAGCGGGGAAGAGAGAATCCATTTTGTAAGTCCCGCCAAACCCTAAATAGTAGCCGTTGTCTGATTGGTTAAATCCGTTCAGCCATCTCGCGTTTGAGTCTCAAACAATGTGTTAATTATTCCCGCAGTACGATGAAACATTACGAGCCATCGGTCTGTGCACTCTGTAATGTTTCTAAAGGGGAATGTGTAAAGTTGTATGTCCCTTTTAGCAATATCCAGCGATGGGGGCACCAGAATTGGGCTTCACACACTGTACCCATTTTGGGAATAGAACTCAGACCTTCGGCGTAACGAGCAATCGCATTACCCACTAAGCTAACCCATTTCCCCGGTTTCTGAAAGACTTACCAAGATGGTACTTGTGAGTTGTATACAGCGTGCCAGCTCCGTCCTGCTCTGCTACCAAAACACTGCAAATAAAACAAAATATAAATAAATATTAAATAACCGCAAATCATTAATTCATTTAATGATTAACTAATTCATGTAAGCTGTAAACAAGTATAACAAAATTCATCCCATCATAAGAAATCAAAGTTATAAGTGGAGATCTGTACAAATTCGACCATATCATGAGCATTCCCTATCATGAGCATTGCTAGCAATCTGTTATGGCAACGGGTTTTCGGTTATATTAGTTTGAATATGGTATCATTTCATTCTTAATCCAGACAAAGCACTGACGTCACGTTTGGGTATACCTTTCTCGAAATCAAATAACAGCTTGAATTTATCTCTCACTAATTTAATCAAGTCGATAAGTATCTAAATGAATGAAACCTGAAATGACGGAATAAATATCAGCTCTCGCCTTGGGGAGTGGATTGTGTCTCTGAAGGAAATATCACTCAGTACTACCATTCTCGAGAGCAAATAATTATGTTTTACTCATTTGACCGACAATACGCAACTCTTTTGATGTAGAAATAAAACCGTTACTATTTGTTTTAAATGATTGATATTTTGATACATTATTATCGGGTTCATGGCACCACGGACGTCAGCTACTATTTTCGGAGATTTCCGATAGTCTTATAGCCTCTTAGATCCTACTGACGGAAATAACCACGTTTCATGAAATAAGATCAAACAAATCGGTAAAAAGAAACCATGTCTCACAGACTTGATTTTATTTATAATTTCACTCTAAGTCGGTACAATTAACCTTTTCTTTCATCCTAGCGAGTCCCAAACTTGCAAGTGCAAGAAAGGCAAAAACAATAATTATGTAAATTTATGCCAAAATAGCTTAGGTCAGCGGTTTGATATTGGGTTCGCTCACCAGCCGCATCATACCAAAAGACGTTAAAAAGGTACTTGTTGTTTCCTGGGCTTATGCTCGGCGTTAAGGGCTAAAAGAAGGACTGGTTCGGAATGAGTGAAATGTGTCTGAGCGAGCTATCTATGCTAAACTGCTTCAAGGTATCTCAGTGGATGGGGGGAGATCCCGGTTCGATTCTCAACATGGGTACAATGTGTGAAGCCAATTTCTGGTGTCCTCCGCGGTGATATTGATGGAATATTGTTAACACACGGCGCAACTAATACTGACTAACACACCTGGATGGAGCGAGTGCTTTTTCAGGCTACAGTCAACCTGGTGGAGGGTGTACAGGGGTTCAAAAATCCCATCGCCCGACGCCCGGGACAAGTCAGTTTTCATTTCGGGCAATCAAATAATGGTATCTTACTTGTCAGTGGGCTACTAGATAATTTCCACTTATGGTTTCAAACTGCAAATAAACTTGGAATTAATTTCATATCTGCTCAAAATGTAGCTTTTAAATATCGCAATGATAATAAAGTAGAGTTATCTTTCTTTGCTATTTATCACTTTTCAATAAATAGTCCAGTAAACATTAACATCACATACCATGTTGATTTATTCTTTCATAATTACATCATCATGATTATGTCATAAAATCAGGGCAAGTGGAAATTTGGTCAGGACAAGTTACTTTCTTACAGTCACTTGCCCTGTGGCAAGTGGCTTTTTAAACTAATTTTGAACCCCTGAGTGTACATAATTCACGTAACAAACCAATAGTTGCCATCATGAGCATCAATGGACGCCAGAAAGGTAGTTTGACACACAAACAGCCGGGTGATCACACAGATACCAGCCCAGAAATGGGCGTCACAGGTTTTACCCATGTGGTGAATCAAACACGGGTCTTCGGCGTGACGAGCGAACCACTAAGCTACACTATATACTTAAACTGACAAACGATATATTTCCACAGTTAATGAGCGCACAAGCCTATTCAAGTTCATGCGCTCCCAAGGCGCTGGTCTTGTATTTCAAGCTCCCCGAACAACTAAAAGCAAATCCGGAATTTTAAGAACTAGTCGTCCAAAGTAACATAGTTTACACGATCATTTGTATTAAATATAATGCATAGACTATTATTATAACAAGTAGCTTGCTATGGAGAAGCGCCGTTTTTCTCCTTGTCGATTAAAAAAATATCTTATGCTTTAATAAAAGAAGGGAATGGAAGCCTTTATTAAATACGTTTCCTGTTCTTAACGACGGAATTGTAAAAGAAATTATTTTTCAAAGTTGATTTTATCCGATATTTGAATTTTAGGTAAAAATATAACCCCATTTGTTACATCATATCTAAAATCAGGAACAACTCTTGGTAGGCATTTTACACATCGCATCCATGGAAATTAAATATTTTGCATATTTGGCACAAATTTACAACATTTCAAACATAGTAGAAGTTGCAATTATTTTCTTACCCCGTCTTCATTGAACCAATTTAGTTCACACAAAATTACCCAGCCACATGACTTTTTACAAACTTTCGCAGTTTTGAGTGATGGTTAAACAAACATAATCAAATTTAACAATTCTTAAAAAATTTAAAAACATAAAAAAAAATAAACTTAGAATGCTTTCCCTTCTGTATTTTAATGGTTATAAATGGTTGCATTTGACTGAGAAGAAAACGCTCTGCTTCAACTGTAATCCTCCGTGATGACGCGGTTGTTAAATCAACTGTTTCAAGTAGAGGTTGTTATAATAATTGGAAACGTCTTATTGGCCAATTAGAATCGAGGCAGTTTATATATTATTCGTAGTGTAAGGAGATTTCCCTTACAGCAATAAAGGAAAAGAGAAAAATATTGATTATACTAATTTGGAAAGTCAAACATGATTTCGGTGTGAAGACCTAACGCTTGAACAACTAGGATACTTTAAGAAAGGGAATAAAACAAAAAGCGACAAAATTGTAAGAATAATTGTGCTACAAGGAGGGTCTGTTGTTCGCTTCCAACTTTAGGTGTTTTGAGCTCTTATAAGTTAGTGATGATACCAGGTGTTCTTGAAAAGATATAAAATATTGGCAGTCACTTTCACCTACAAAATACCCTATTATACCAAAAGATAAAATATATTACCGGTTTTAAGGGTTTGTTGGAGAAAAGTATCAAGATCTGTTTGGAGTAGTTTCAAATAAATTTAATCTATTTTTATCGATTGTAAGAAATGAATGTTAAGCGCAGGGCTCGCCTGAGCTCGTAACACAATTATCCATATAAAATCCATGTCCACTCCCCTTTCAAGACATCCTTCCCAGGTTTAGTGAGAATTATATTTGGAGAATCAAGCCGTGTTAGATTGGTCTCCATTTATTTTCCATCTAAGCTCCTCTTATATAACCGTTCATAAATATTCCACCTATATTTAACCACAGACGCCAAATCTGTAGCAGCGAAATGTTATCCGCATATTGATTGGTTATTTACGAGCCAATGAGGCGAGCTCAGACAAATAAAGGACCGAAGTGAAGGCCAAGCTGTAGAGTGATTGGCTATTAATATGGGATTTGTCGAGTGGCTGAATCTTTCCGTTCAAAGCATAGGATTGTTTGTTGGGTTGGAAAACAGGAAATACCCCTGGGAAATTTAATAGGTAGATAGACGAGACAGCAGTGAGCTCTTGAATCTGTGTTGAAATACATTAATTGGGAAAAGATTTGGGTTGGATATATTTTTCGAGTTAGGCTGATTCGTCGTGCCATATTGGGTGCTAAGATTATATATGTGTGTGTACATACTCGGGAGGCTTTGAAATGGTAAAATAACCGACATAAGAATGTTGTGTTCGTTGTGAGTTGGATGGGGACAAAGCTGTTCTCAGAAGTGATCAAATGCGTACTCGAATACATACTCCCTCTCAACCACAACCGCCTCCGTGGTGTTGTGGTTAGAGCGTCCGCCCGGAGAGCGGAAGGTCGCGGGTTCGATCCCCGACCGCGTCATACCAAAACACGTTAAAATATGGTACTTGTTGGTCCCTGCCTGGCGCTCGGCATTAATGGGTACAACAAGGACTGGTCGGCTCGGAGTCAGTATAATGTGTCTGAGTGGGGTATTAATGCTTCACTGCGGCATAGTATCTCAGTGGGCTAGCACTAGAAAACCAGCTTCAGTCTGGGCAAGTACAAGCAGTCGCACATACACATACACACGCATGCACGTCGTCATATGAGCGAAATATTCTCAAGCACGACGTTAAACCCAATTTCACCTCACCTCACCTCAACCACAGCCAGCCACCTTTCCAGTCACGTGCAATAGTCATAACTATTTGCTCAAGTTAGGATTTTTGTTGCAGCGATCGTGGATTGCTGTGACTTTGTAGATTGGCCTTTTAGGAACCATCTCATTCTCTGGATCAAAGAAACCTTCTCATATTTGGAAAAATAATATAAATGAAATATCTGGAACTGTCTCCCGATCTGTCTCTCTTTGGTGCTTTTGTGGGCGACATTCAATTGCTTCTTTACAATTCTTATGCATGGACTGCTTTCGCTACGAGTAATGCAGGCGTCGAATTGGTGTTCGCACCAACTATTCAAGCATTTGGACTGCACTGACGTTCTATAACCGAAAAAAGGAAACGTTTTGTAATCTTCATTGTTGTAATTCCATGATTACGCGACGGAAGATTGCTGTAGGTTTATTTGTAGCGACCATCAGTGGTAGCCGGTTACTGAAGCTCCGCAAAATAATTAGTACTGTAGAGGCAGATTGTAGCAGAGAATCCGGTTTAGAGTGACCTCCCTTAGCTGTTAACAAACCAGGACAGCTTGATCGTTTGAACAGTTTCGTGATGTGGTGTTTCTAGAAGGCTCGCTGCAATTATGTAAGTGCGACAGGAGAGGACGGGTAGTTGTCTGGAGTCATAACAGCTTCCTAAGGTCGTGATTCACAGTTAACACCGACAATATTCTGGACATTTGTTGGTACAATGATTCTTGTTATAGAACTGTTGCTGGTGCCGCATGCTTGGCCCATTGTTGTTTATGGCATTGTATATTCATACCATTGTATTCCCCTTAGCAATTGTAAAACTCATATTGTGCTTCTTAATACAATTTGTTAACCATTCACA